GAAATAGTCCAGAAAGTAAAACAAAAAGACAATAATGTAAAAAGTAAGATGGAAAGCTAAGAAAATTAGTAAACCAGCTCAAAAAGTCTAAAATAGAGAAAAACCAGAGTCAAGAATATTATCAAATATTAGATTCCAAAAAAATTTCCTAGAATACAGGAGCTTAAATTTCCAGATTGAGTCCATTGAGCACACAATACTAAGTATGAAAAGAGTTAAATTATGTGAAATTCTAGAACAGTGGCAACAAATAAATGCTCTACAAGCTTTCAAGAGAAAAGTGTCATACAAAAGCTAAAGAATAAGAAGAGCATTGGATACCTAAACACAATATCAGAAGCTAGAAGACCAATGGTCCAATGCTTCAAACTTTTGAGGGAAAATTATTTCCCTCAAAATAGCAAATCCAGCTAGACTATAAAATGTGAAGTTAAAGGTAATTTCAGGAGTTCAAGATGTCAAAAATTTCCCCTATATTTCCCTTCTTAAGAAACTAGTGGGGCCAGCAGAATGGTTCAGTTGGTTAAGAGTGCGAGCTCTGAACAACAGGGTCACTGGTTATATTCCCACATGGGCCAATGAGCTGAGCCGGAGCTGAGCTGCTGCTGAGCTGCCAACAGGTGGCAGGATGGCTCAGCTGGTGAGAGCACATGCTCCTAACAACAAGATTGCCAGTTCGACTCCCGTATGGGATGGTGGGCTATGCCCACCCACAACTAAGATTGAACACGGCACCTTGAGCTAAGTGGTCGTGAGCTGCCGACAGGCAGACGGATGGCAACTGGACTTGGGAGCTGAGCTAGCTGCGCCCTCCACAACTAAGATCGAAGGACAACAATTTGGCTATTCCCCTCCCCCAATTCCCCAACACTGTTCCTCTCCCCCAATTCCTCAATAAAATCATTTTTTAAAAAGAAAGAAAAAAATAAACTAGTGGAGGATTGGCTCGGCTCTGCAGAAACAAAGGAATAAACCAAGACCAGGAAAGTACCATATTCAGGAAACAGGAGATCCAATACAAGGAGGAGTGAAGAGAATCCACAGGATAGCAGTGAAAGGGGAGCTCAAGATGAGAGCTGTTCAGCAGGCCCAGAGAATAACTAGACAGAATTGAGCAGGCCTGGGTAAGGTGGGGAAATTTTCTTCAATAAGTTGTAAATAATGAAACTTTTAGGACATATTGAGATTAATTTACAAATTTGGAGAAAATCGGGGTTTCAAATACTAGTAAATACATAGAAAATGAAGCAAGCGATAATAACAAATTGCTAATTACAAAAAAAAGTAATCACAGCATATTATATTTTCCTTTTCTATGCAGATAAGGAAAAGTAATCATAGTGTGTTACATATCACCTGGAAATAGCATTTGCATAGTTATGCTATTGTAACGCCTGGATATTAAACTAACCAGTTATTTCTATATGGGGAACTGGGTGTATATGTGTGGTGGGATTGTAAAAGAGTTAAATCCTCAGCTTCCGTGTGAGGTATCAAAACATAATACCTAAAGCTAACCAAAAAATACAACAAAAGCATTGTTATTTCCAGTCAAGATGGCAGAGTAGATAAATGCTGTGCTTGTATCTTCTCATGACCACATCGAAAATTTAACAAAACCACAGAACAACCATCACTGAGAATCACCTGAAGTCTAGCTAAGCAGAAGTCTTATAACTAAGGACATACACAAGTAACCATGTCGAGACTGGTAGGAGGGGCAGAGATGGGAATGAGCTGGTGCCACACCTGTGTGTGGTAGTTAAATTTGGTAGGGATATCTCAGCTGTAGAGGCCCCATTGGAAGAGTGAAATGTTCCAGCTCCACACCAGGTTCCCCAGCCCAGGGTTCCAGTGCCAGGGAGAGAAGTCCCCATAACTTCTGGCTGTGAAAACCAGCAGAGGTTGTTGCTGAGTGGGACAGAGGGCTCCTGGAGTCCCAGACACTCCTCCTAAAAGGACCATACATGGAGTCATTCACTGACAGACTCACTCGCTCTGAGCTCCAGTGCTGGGGAAACAGTTAAAAGGCACAAGGGACATACAGGGAAAAACTGAATTGTCTGGCTTCAGGGTGATGGCTGGAGGGGTAGCTTCCTCCGAGACAGAAGTGCTGGCAGAAGCTATTGTTCCTTTGTTGAGCCATTCCGTCTCCCAGTGTGCAGATGCAGGCGGCCACCATATCTGAGTCTCCATGGACTTGCCTAACACTGTTTGCCCTGCCCTGGTGATTCCCTGAGACCATGCCCCACCCAATTTTCAGGCACACCCAAGCTGCTTCCAGTGGCTTTTCCATACAAAGAGCCTATCTTGGCTCATGGTATGGAGTTTCCGAAAATATCTTAAAGGTTCACAAACTCCAAACAAGCAGCGTCTGATCCTGGTGTGCCCCATAACTCTTGATAAGCAGCCCCAAGCCTGGCACTAGTGGCAGCCAGCCTCAGTTCACAGCTTAGCCTCTCCCAGGCACCACCAAACCCAGTGCTGGTGACGACTATCTGCAGGTTGCTTTGTGGCTCATTCTAGGTGGTCTTGGGCAGAGCACAGGCTTGGGGCTGAACTTGGCCTGTGGTGGGGCCTCTCACCCTGTAGCCTACTTCCAACCAAGCTGGAACACCACCTAGCTGCCTTCACAGATGACAAACCCAAAGGGTGCACTAGGTAGGCACCAGAGCCCTCCTAAAGCAAATCCTGTTCCATAGAGTCAGTCCCGGCACAACAGCTCCTCTACTGTAGTCATGGCCAGTCCTCACAACCAATCAGCTCAAGGGTTAGTCCCTCCTATTGACATGAAAACAGCAACCAAGGTCCAACTGTAACAGGACATACACAACCCACACCAAGGGCACACCTGGAACACCCAACTCTAGTGACTAAGGAGACTGTGCCACTGGGCCCCACAGGACACCTACTATGTAAGGACACTCTACTAAGACAGAAGGACATAGCAGACCTACCTAATACATAGAAACAAACACTGGGAGGCAGCCAAAATGGGGAGACAATGAAACATGTCCCAAATAAAAGAACAGAACAAAGCTCCAGAAAAAGAACAAAATGGAGACAAGAAACCTAGCAGATGCAGCATTCAAGACACTGTTTATAACTATCTTCAATGATCTCAGTGAGAACTTTGAGAGATAGGAAACAAAAATGGAGATAGAAAACATAATAACCAGTCAGAAATGAAGAATACAATAACAGAAATGAAGAATACTTTCAAGGGAATCAACAGATTAGATGATGCAGAGGATCAAATCAACTATTTAGAAGATAAGGTAGAAGAAAACATCCAATCAGAACAGCAAAAAGGAGAATCTTAAAAAAACGAGGATTGTTTAAGGGGCCTCTAGGACAACATCAAGCATACCAACATTTGCATCATAGGGGTACCAGAAGGAGAGAGAGCAAGGAATTGAAAATTTGAAGAAGTAATGATGGAAAACTTTCCTAACCTGGCCAAGGAAATAGACATATAACCCAGCAAGCAGAGTCCCAAACAAGATGAACCCAAAGAGGCCCACACCAAGACACATCCTAGTTAAAATGCCAAAGGTTAAAGACAAAGAATCTTAAAAGCCCCAAGAGATAAGCAGTTAGTTACCTACAAGGGATCTCCCATAAGACTGTTAGCAGATTTCTCAACAGAAACTTTGCAGTCCAGATGGTTTTGGCATGAAATATTCAAAGTGATTAAAAGCCAGGACCTACAACCAAGATTACTCTATCCAGCAAAGCTATCGTTTAGAATTGAAGGACACATAAAGAGCTTTCCAGACAAGAAAAAGCCAAAGGAACTCATCATCACCAAATCAGTATTGTAAGGAATGTTAAAAGGACTTTTTTAAGAAGAAAAAAAAAACGATTAAAACTATAAATGGCAATAACTGCATATCTAGCAATAATTACTTTAAATGTAAATGGATTAAATGCTCCAATCAAAAGATACAGTGTAGCTGAATGGATAAAAAAACCAAAACCCTTACATACACTGCCCACAAGAGACTCACTTCAGATTGAAAGACACACACAGACAGAAAGTAAAGGATTGGAAGATACTTATGAAAATGGAAACTTAAAAAAGAACAACCCAAAAACGTTGTGGTAGCAACACTTATACCAGAAAAAATAGACTTTAAGACAGCGGTTCTCAACCTGTGGGTCGCAACCCCTTTGGGGGTCGAACGACCCTTTCACAGGGGTCGCCTAAGACCATCGGAAAACAAAAAGATACTTACATTACGATTCATAACAGTAGCAAAATTAGTTATAGAGTAGCAACGAAAATAATTTTATGGTTGAGGGGCTCACCACAACATGAGGAACTGTATTAAGGGGTCACGGCATTAGGAAGGTTGAGAACCGCTGCTTTAAAACAAAGGCTTAACAAGAGACAAAGGACCCAGTAATTCCACTTCTGGGTATCTGAAGAAATCCAAAACACTATGTCAAAGGGACATGTGCATCCATATGTTCAATGCAACATTCTTTACAATAAGCAAGAGATGGAGGCAGACTGGGTGTCCATCAGTGGATGAAAGGATAAAGAAGTGGTACATATATATAATGGGAATTCTCATCCATAAAAAAGAATGAAGTCTTGCCATCTGCATCAACATGGATGGACCTGGAGGATATTTTGCTGAGTGGAGTAAGTCAGACAGAGAAAAACAAATGCCATATGATTTCATTTGTATATGGAACCTAAAGAACAAAATAATCAAACAAACAGAAAAAAATTTATAGATAGAACATTTTGAGGGTTGCCAGATCAGAGGAGTTTGGGTGGATGGGTGAAAAAAGGGGAAGGGATAGTTACAAAATTGTCATGGGCCCTAGAAATACAGGTAAGCAGGGCAGAAAAGGTCTATATCTGATGGATTAAACTTGGTTCTAAATAATGGAAAATTCAGCAGTGGCCTAAGTAAGGAAAATAATTTTCTTGATGCATATAAGTATCATCTTGTTGATACAGGTGAAGTATATTAATAAACAGTCTCTCTGAGGTAGATACTATTTATTATTTTTCAATTTACAAGTGAACAATCTGGAGATGAAAAATAACCTGCTTAATGTTACAGTTAGAAAGTGGCAGTACAAGACTTTGAAACATGTCTGACTCCAAAGCCTTAACTCTTAACCAGAATACTATATAATTTGCCTTCTTTTCTAGATATTCTTATTAATGTCAACACATATTTAAATCCTGCAGGGCACACAAAACATCGATTTTTGCCCCACTCTCATTGGCATTTATCATCCTTCCTGAATTTTGCATCTAATGTCATAAACAATAAAAAACATACAAACAAGGACAAATTACTCAATTACAAAGCCAACATTGTGGATACAATATAAAAGTTAATTAACTTAATCACTGATAGTCATATAACTCAAACACAAACTGCTTACTTTATTTCTTTAACAATGAAATAGTAACACAATAATTTAGTTGTAACAAAGCCATAACAGAGCAAAATAAAAACAAAGTTAATTAAGAGGCATTGCTTCAGATCAAATTAGTTATCTCCTTTAAACAGGAAAAACTACCATTAGTCTAGTGGTTCTCAAACCTGTCTGCACATTAGAGGGATGGGGAGAGGAAGGAGGATTGGTGCTTAAAAAAAATAGCTGTACTCAGGGCCCACATCAGAACAATTAAATGAAAGTGGGGCCCAGGCAAAGATGTGTGAAGTGTTTTCAGTGTTGAGAACTACAAGTCTAAAGGAATAAGCAATAAAAACCATGCCCTTGAGGCAATTCAAAACCAAGAAATTTTAAAAAGAAATGCAATAAACGTCTTTCCTCTTATTCTGGGAAAGGGGGAAGGGAAGCATATATTCATTCCTCATTGTTCTTTATCCATTTTTGATAGCCCAAAGTAGAGTTTAACAAACATCAAATATTGGAAGTTATGCAAAAGGCTACCCAAATTGAAATTCTCACTTTACATTTAGAAAGTTCTTTTCCAACAATACCAGCTTTCAGAAAGAATCCCCCACATTTTAAGTTTGCATAGATGTTTAAGTCAGCTATTTGTTCAACTAAGAATCAATGTGTATTACAAAGCATTTTATTAATAATAAAATATTCACTTCATGTACCACAATTAACTTTTTGTTGCAGAGAGGAATATTTGAACGTTTCCCACCTATTTCTAAAACTGTCAGAATTCTTTTATATGATCTAGATCTTCAAATTTAGAATCTAATTCAATTTTTAAGAATGCATACATAAAATACTTCCCCTATAATTGCACTATATCCTTGACAAATCCTATTGGGACTTTCAGTAGTGACTACAGGCATTTATCTTTTAAACAGCTTTTCCTCATTTTTCAGGTTTGGGAATGAAATCACATTAAGTATGGAAAATAACTATTTTCCTTAAGAATACATAAATTCACTTAGAGACGTCTCCTCAAATTCAGAAAAATCCATTTCTTCAGCTCCTCTGTCAGGACTCCATGTCAATCTCAACCACTTCATTCTTGCACTGAAGCCTTGCTTCTGTCAGGTTGTCTTCATTTATACCTTCAATGTCTGCCAGATCAATAGGTGGTAAAGGATTCCTCCAGTACTGGAACGTATTATACTGCCAAAATTCTTCATTGAGCTTTAGGGGGGGAAAATAATGTACATCAATGGTTTAGAAAGTTTTTTCAGGAAATAAAATTTTTGTTTTAAAAGCAAACGCACGTAAGATTTTGCAGCCTTTTACTTTGTATCTTCAACAAATATAGATTTTTAATTCTATCTAATCAAACTACTTAATGATCTCAATCAAATCTGTGCATGTTTCTATTTGTGAAAGTATTTCTTCTTAGTAGTTTAAATTTAAAAGAATTTCCTTCAAAAGTATCTCTTCCGAGAAATTTTCTTCCACTTTCAACCAAAGGAAATGTCTGAAAACAGTCTTAAAATGTTTTACCTATCAGTGAGGAAAACATTTTTATTAAAAAAATACACACATACCTTAAAACTTATTTTTGGACTTTTTCTTGACGTTTGGTATTTTAAGGGATTGACTTTACATAGGCTAAAATATCTCAATAATCTACTAAAAAGTAGTAGGATATACACATAGTAAATAGCAAGAAAATCTTAAACTGGTCATTTTATTAAGATACCATTTGGAACAAGACATGACTTTTAAATCAATATATCAAAATTGATAAACCCAAGTGAGTGCTAGCCCCTTAAATATTCCACAGCTTATTTTGAATGACGATAAAATTGTTTCAAGTAACTATGAAATGAAGCTGATGTTCCAATGAAGTTCAAAATTGGCTCAGAATTTCAAAAGCATCCCCAAAATACTGTGTCTAAAGGAAGCACCAATGGAATCATATACAGGCTCCCAAGGTGACTATTTTGAAGGTTAACACCCTTCCCAGATGAATATCTATATATCTGTATCTATTCTATGTTGTGTCCTTATGTTAGATTCATACTTGCTAGAGCAGCATTATGCAACAGAAATATAATCGGAGCCACATACATACTTTAAAATTTTCTAGTAACTACAGTGAAAAAAGGAAACCTAAACTTAATATTTTATTTGACCTAAATATCCAAACTGTTATCATTTCAACATGCAGTCAATATTTTAAAAATTAATGAGATATTTTACATTCTTTTTGTCTAAGTTTTCAAAATCTGCCAGGTAGTTTATACTTCCAGCACTATTCAGTCTAGCCATATTTCAATGCTCAAGAGCCGCCATGTGGCTACTTTACTAACAGCAGGTCTGTAAGGAAATCTCACTAAGAAGTTTATTCAGTGCCTTAGACTCTAAGGCGTAGAGCATTAAGGGTCTCTCTGAAATTTCTTAACACTGGGATAAAAATGTAATAATTCAGAGGATACCAAGAAAAATCTCATTTTAATAAGCAAATAGGGTTAAAAACAAGGGTCTATTTCTTTGCCCACTGGAAAAAAATATCTAGTGTTCAAATTACCTACTTATAAACATGGACCAAAAAAAGATCCTTTAATGATGTTTCACCTAGTAGCTAAGAGCACCATCTCTGCCACCAGACAGACCTGGGTCTGCATGTTAACTCCACCACCCACTAACTCAGATCTTGACCTAAGTATTTCCTAATCAGTAAAACACAGGACTCTCAAATTAAGGTTCAGCACTCTACTGCTCATTATTGCCAGGTATTATATCACAAACCTATGAATCATTAATCACTTTCTTCCTAGTAACAGAAAACAATATTTTTGCTTACTTGCTATTAAAAATATCTAACAGTAAGGGTGAGCACCAACAGAGCAATAAATCTGCATAAAATGGCACTAACATGAGAAAATATTAATATTTAATGATGTAATACCTGGCTTTATTTCTCTAGTAAAAAAAAAAAGTGAAACAACTCAAGAACTATTCTGAGGTTCTAGGAGAGAAAAGAAGTACCATTATTCTGCCTACATTGCATCTTCAAATAGAAAAGGTATATCTGAGAAAATGTCTCCTAAATGAGATCCCAAGGGTGAGGGCAGGGACTTAAGCTTTATTCTGAGCACAACAGGAACGACAGACATTTGCTGCATGAACTGAAAAAGATTTTTAATTTCTCCATGTTTTATCCCGTTTTCCCTTGGTAATTATCTGTAAAAACTTAAAAAAAAAATCTGCATCTTTGGAGACAGGAAGAAAAGCTGGGGAACACGTCTCTTAAGTTTGCAAAAGAGAAACAGCATGAAGGTTCTTGGGCTTTTGCCAAAAGAAAAGAGAACAGAGGACTAGTACAGGTGAAGAAGGAACCCCTAGAGCCAAGCTTGTTTCCTGTCATGAGCTTCTAGTGACTACAGGAGAGCTGCCTCTCTACTACTGTAGAAGACACAGGTGTGTCTAGGGGATGCTAATCAGGCATCTGTGTCAGTCCATTAAAACATTCTTCTTTGCCTACTTGTCATTTCCATGTTTCCTTCTTATCAATTTGTGGCATGCTGCAGTCAGTATATTCTGGTAGGAAAGACAAGCCTATTCATGGGTGGGGTCTTAAGAGGAAAAATTTCAAACTACACAGTACTTACCTCCATATCAAATATGTCTGGATGACTATCATTGTTTTTTTAGGTTTTGCATATTGAGACCAGACATGATTTAATTGGAAATTCTAATTCTTTATTCTATTTTCAAAAACATAAGTGCTATCATTCGGTTTTAAGTAAGCTGATTTTGAACACCAAAACGCAATCTGAAAAAGTCTCAATAAGGCTTATGCTTCCTAAATTCCAAGAAAGTTGGAGGTAGAAATATTTACAATTTATAATTTCATCCAGAAATGCTCATCATGATTATTATGTCTAAAGGATAATTTCTCACAACCACAGGAAAAGATCTTTTTCCCAACTATAAAATTCTCATTATCTTACTGGGTTTTTGACCAAGAACAAGTCATGCAACGGAACCCCAATTTTTTTTTTTTTGGTGGGAGAAGGTATTTGATTAATTCTGCAAAAAATACTTGGTGCAGCGGTTGAAGAGTTTGGTGAATTCTATCCCTACATTTGGCTCTTCAATCCCCAAAGCTCCTACTAAGTCAACACAAAACTGCCAAAAAACAGTTTGAATTCCTAAGTCTAGACCAAAACTGTCAAATAAATATATAATGCCAACCACAAACATAATTTAAAATTTTTAGTGGCTGTACTAAAAAAGTAAAAAAAAAAAGGTGAAATGAATTTTAGTCTATTTTATTGAACCTGTTACCTCCAAATTATTTCAACATGTAATCAATACAAAATTTGAGACCTTTGAAATCTAGTGTTTTTTACATTTACAGTACATCTTAATTTGGATTAGTCACATTTCAAGTGTTCAGTGGTCTCACATGGCTCGTGGCTGCCATATCGAAACTGCACAGATCTAGATAAATCAGATCTTCGGATGTGCAGAGATGGGGCCGACTCATTTCCCAAGGCGCAGGACCTCCCCAGAGGCCCTCATACATGATTTACCATAGGGCCAAGTTAAGTTTCAACAATGATCCTTTTTCATAGGATGACTGTGAGTTAAAACGCCTTTTCCTAAGGTATACAGCACGTCCACTCTGTAAAAGAGCGGTCACCATGCGTAAAGGACGTCCAATTACCACGCGTGCCATCTCTTTAGCAAGAAACCTATCACGAAACTACAAAAATCATCATTAAACCAGGGAAGGCACGCTACACCTTTCTCCTTTCTCAACCTGTGTTGTCTCTGAGCTGAACCTGTCTGTGGTTCAGTCAACGTTTTCACCCAACGCCAGTCTGTCATGACCCACGATCCTACCCTCACAAAACAAGCGTCGAAGCTGCGAGGCCACGTGTATCTCACTCGACGGTGTTTCCCCTACTTCAGCGAAATACTTTCTGCCCGTGGGACTGCCCCAAAACAATGTCAAAGGTGGGCTCGGGGACTCTCGCTGTGTTGCCTTGGCGTCGGCGTCCGTTCCTGATGCGGGGACCCCGGCTTTTCGCCTTTTGGGTCGTCCGACGAACACGAGTCTAGGGAGGGACTGTCTGCTCCCTCCCAGGGGTCATAGTGTCTGGGGAAAGGGTGGACCCCACCCGCCCCTGGAGCACCCAGCCCACCCCCAGCCCCTACCTGGCGCTGTGCGGGCCCCCAGTCTCCACGCGGGGACTCTGCGCGCCCCGCCCCTTCGTCGCCACTGCCCCGAGGGGGCCGGGCGCCCCGCGGCTCCTCCCCCGGCCCGTGGGGCTGCTCGGGAGGCTGCAGCAGCGGCGGCTCGCCGGTCTCTAAGCCGCGGCCCTCACGCTCCGCGCCGCCGGGAGCGCTGGTGTCCCCGCCATCGCGGCGCTTGCTCGGCGAAGCCGAAGGCTCAGTCATAGCCCCCGAGTCGATTCTGCGCTTTCGGGGCAGCTCCGGGACGCCGACGGGCTGCCCGGGATGAGAGACCCCGGGCGGCGGGATCCAGAACGGTGGCGGCGGCTCCTCCGGAAAGTCGCAAAGCAGGAGCCGCTTCCAAGGCACGTGGAACGTCAGCGGCTCGGCCGCACGCCGCTTGGCCATGGGCCCCAGAGGCTCGCGCGGAGCCTGCCGGGCGCGGGAAACCGAGCGCCGATAGCTGCGGAGGCGGAGGGCGGAGGGCGGGGGCGGAGCGCGCAAAGAAGGGGGAAGATCAGCTGGGGCGAGGTGGCAACAGGAAGCTGAGGAAGGGCGCTCTGGGGGGGGGCGGGGCAGCTGGGTTCCCCACAGCCCGCGCGCACGGCCCTCGCAGCCGCGGAGGTGCGGCTGGACGTTGGGGAGCAAGCGCGAAACGGCGGATATTCGAACCTGCGCACAAACGTGTGCTCGCACAATCGCGCCGGCCAGGCGGAGCAGCTGGTTGGTGGAGGCTCGCGGAGCGCGCTCCCGAGTGTCCCCGCGGCCGGAAGTGCGCATCCCAGGGGGAGGCGGGGAAACCGCGGCGGGTGTCTTAAAGGCCTGGTCGAGTTCCCAACGGAGGGCGTGACCTTGTTTCCTCAAGGGTGGGAGAGGGTTGCAAGTTCCGCGCTTGGTAAAGCGCTTTAGATTTAAGATCTTTAATATCTATATGTTAATATTCCCTTCCTCGAAGCAGTGGCCACGGGGATGTCCCCAGGAGGTTAAAAGAGAAGATTATGCAAACTTAACTAGTCGTTAAGAGGCTCTAGCACTACGTTGTGATTATTAGAGACAGACTCTCGGATGAGGGTCGGGTTTGAGGGAAGTAGCTAAAACCAACACGCAAAAACAAAATCAAACAAAAACCCAACGAATTGTATGTTTTGCAATGGCGGCTGTTAAAAGTGAACCATGTACCATTCCTTGACGATCTTCTCTTTAAAAATTCATTGATGAAGTTGCAGAGATGTGCAGCTCATCCAAAATATCTAAGAGCCAAGCCTGGAGCACAGCTATTTTCCAACTGAAACCTAAAATTGTTTGGCTCTTAAATTACGTGGGAAGCGCACAGAGTTCCCTGCTTATTCTGTGATCAAAGTGAGTTTCCAACACCTTAACAGCGAAATTGTGATGTGAAGCAAAAGTGAGGAAGGGATACCAGCTGTCTATTGTAACTTATATTTTAATAATTGATGACTAATCAAGTGAACAGAAATGTGAGGAAGAAAATTATATTTAAATGCTTTAAAGGGAGAAACTGCTATGATCTAGAGAAAATGTGTGCAAGAAAGATAAATGTACTCTAACTGGTAGCTCCTACCTATATATTAATTACCACACGCCCCTACACCTCAAGATTGTGATAGGATAGGGCAACTACTTATTTAATAAGCACAGAAATATAACAAGTAGGGTAATAAGCAATAGCTTTTCTGTTTGATCTTTCCATTCCCTCATGTTTGAAACTGATAACCCATCTGTCTTTTTTTTTATTTTTTATTTTTTTTATTGGGGAATTGGGGAAGGAGAAAGCCAAGTTGTTGTCCTTCGGTCTTAGTTGTGGAGAGTGCAGCTAGCTCAGCTCCAAGTCTAGTCACCATCCAGCCACATGTCGGCAGCTCAGCTCTGGCACAGCTCACTGGCCCATGTGGGAATCAAACCGGTGACCCTGTTGCTCAGAGCTTGCTCTTTTAACCAACTGAGCCACTTGGCCGGCCCCTTCCATCTGTCTTAAGTAGATGAAGAGTTTGCGATTTTCAAACCAGTTACACAGCTTATACATAAAAGAGTTTAATTTTATTTGAAAGGTTTGGAGAATATCCTGCCCCAAAATAATAAAAGTGCAATTTAGAACATAGGGTTTCATTCCTTTGTAGTCCTCTCCACACTTTTTTTTCTAAATTGTGAAATTTATCATCTATACAAAAGGTTGTATAAAACATGTAGTTAAAAGAATGATAGTAAGATACCCAACACTCAGCTTCAGATATAGAGTATTGCTAGTACCAGAACATGAAAAGGTCCATAGTGCTTCTCCCACGGGCACCGCACTCGCTTTCTCCAACTCCAGGTATTATTATTATTTTTTAAGATTTTATTGGGGAATTGGGAGAGGGAACAGCGTTGGGGAATCGGGGAAGGGGACAGACAAGTTGCTGTCCTTTTGTTCTTCAGTCTAGTTGCGGAGGACATCCCTTCACTGGCCCATGTTGGTGCTATCATTGTGCTATTCCAGGGTGAGGCAGTCGCTCGCCGGCTATTGGATGGCCACTCACGGCAGTTCATGCCGGCTGCCAGGCACTCACGGTAGCTTATGGCAGCCCACTGCAGCCTACACTGATGCCTCAGGGCAGCCCAACTCCAGGTGGAGCTGTTGTTCACCATCTTAGCTGTAGAGGGCGCAGTGTCACTGGCCCTCATGTGGGATCCGAACAGGGGCCCTGCTGCTCAGAGCTGGCGTTCCCAAACCAACTCTTAACCAACACACCACTCAGCTGGCCCTGTGTGTGTGTATATATATATATATTCTTGAAAGCAATTTTCTTGTAATAGGTGTAAATATTATATCTTCACCCAGTTTGTATTTTTGCTCTCTATGGCAGTCCCATTAATTTTTGTTTTTTTTTAAAGATTTTTATTGGGGAATTGGGGGGATGGGAACAGCGCTGGGGAATTGGGGAAGGGAAACAGACAAGTTGCTGTCGTTTTGGTCTTCAGTCTAGTTGTGGAGGATGTTGCTTCACTGGCCCAAGTTGGCACCATCATTGTGCTCTTTCCGGGCAAGGCAGATCAAACGCCAGCTTCTGGATGGCCGCTCACTGCGGCTGCTGGCCACTCATGCTGGCTGCTGGCTACATATGGTAGCCCATGGCAACCCACTGCCACAGGGGCTGCAGCCTACACCGTCGCCGGCGACTCACGGCAGCCCAGCTCCAGATTGAGCTGTTGTCCAGCATCCTAGCTGTAGAGGGCAGTGTCACTGGCCCTCATATGTGGGATCCGAACCGGGGCCCTCTGACGTCCCAAGCCAGTTCTTAACCATCGCGCCACTTGGCCGGCCCTGTACCTGTCCTTTATAATGGTTACAATTCTTACAATTATGTAATCACTTGTTTGATATTGTCCCTCTGCTCTGTACATCTGTGGTGGGGGAAAACTATCTGTGTTGTTGACTTCTGCATCCCCAAGACCAAGTCTGGTGCCTGACACAATGTAGGGTCTCAATAAATATTTGTGCAATGATAAAGAAGTGAAGACCACACAGTAAATCGTGAGCCTGGTGTACTGGCCAGGTCTAGCTTCCTCCACTTTATTCCATCCTTGCTCAGGCTGTCTGTGATGGTCAAGTGCCCCCACCCCAAAGACAGAGAGACATTGCATTTTTCAAAAGATTTTAGTACAATTTTCAACATAGATTGGTCATTAAAGTGTTTAATAATAGATTGTATTGGTGAAGATATGGAGAAACGCTCTTGTTTTAAAGTATAACCTTTTATTTATTTGCCAGTTTGTACTTTTTGTGTGAAATAAATTAGTTTCAGCTGTACAACACAGTGCAATAGTTACACGTTTTACCCCTCAAAGTGACAACCCCCATCCCCCAATCTGCTGCCCCACTTACCCCCCATATCATACATATCTATTGCAATTCCCTTGACTCCACTCCCACACTATACTCCACNTATATATATATATATATATATATATTCAATTATAGTTGACATACAATATTATACATCAGCTTCAGGTGTACAGTGCAATGATCAAGCCTCTAACCCATAAATGAAGTGGTCTCCCTAACAAGACGTGACTGACACCCTACAAAATATTTACAACATTAATTATATTCCCAAAACTGTCTTTCATATCCCTGTGGCTCAAGTATAACCTTTTAAGAAAGTCTTCTGGCACCATCTGTGATATTTTAAAAATGCACACAAATTCATCATTTTTACCTTTTTTTTTTTTCCCCCTGAAGCCTCAAAACAGAGTCGGCATTTCAACTTTTAAAAATATTCCAGATATAGTACTGAAAATGGAAACAAAGAGGTATAGGACTATTTATTGTAATATAATGCTGAATAGCAAATGGTTGTGTGTTAAATGAAATGTGCAAATTTGTTAAATGAAGTAAATTTATGTGTATGTAGATCAGCAAAAGTAAAAAAAGTTGCACAATAATATAGGCCACAAATATATTAAAAAGCAGAGGATATATATAAAATATACGTGTGTATGCACATGGTTTTTTGATATTGCACAGATGTTCCTGGGAGGATACTGTTATCAATAGTCAATAGGGTGGGCAACTGAGGAATATGGGTGGAGGGCATATGGCTCACAATTTTGGACTACTTCAAATACTTCAGATTACTGTATTTTGCCTTGTATAATGCGCACCCACATTTTTTTGCCCAAACATTCAGGGAAAAAAATCTTTCATTTTAATTTTTTAATTCAAATTTTTGTTTGTTTACATTTAGTTACTTGTTTTTGTATTATAAAGGAATTTTGGCATTTTTAAAAACATTATGGTACAAGAAATTTTATGTAACAAATAATTACAAAAACACAAGAACACACACAAGGTCCAAGAAATTTTATGTACCGGTAACAAATCTGCAATATTTACGCATCATAAAAGGCCAAAAACTCTTTGTCGATGCAAGTTTGTTATAAGTTCAACAAAACCGATTATTGTACTCCAGGGTATTATTTTGCATATGGATATTGTCATTGATTTCTAGAGTTACACTTTAAATTCATAAGCATAAATAATTGAAAACATTTATATAGATATGGAATTAGTACTACCCGTGTATAATGCACATCCTTATTTTTCCCTCACAAATTTGGGCAAAGTGTGCATTATACATGGCAAAATACGGTATGTTAATGTCACTGGTGTCGTGTGTGGGTTACAAGTTTCCCTACTACAGGCCAACACATAGAATTTCTGGCTTCTGTTATCCTGTGTTGGAAGATAATTTTCCTTGGATCTTTGCATTTCAGCATATCTTGCAAGCAGAGACACTGGCTACCTTTTTTCCATATAATCTTTTCAAGGGTATGTGTACAGTGAACAGTCTTGTAAGACAGAGCCAGTGTCTCCCTCTGGAGTTAAGAGCAGGTTTGTTTATTATCCTGTGTATCTTCTACTAGGGCAAAAAGTCAGGCACACTGACTGCAAATTATAAAAGATTAAGGTTTCCTAAACTCAAGGATCTTCTCCAGTAACATAATCCAGTGCTTGTGGGCATCTTTAGCACTCTAAGTGTGTCCCTCTCTGAGAGGTGGTAAAGAACATTTTAGAAATAGCAAAAATCTATCAAACCATAGATCCAACCAACAAGATAAATTCCAAAAACAAATAAAACACACACTCCCGGACACATCATGGTGAAACTACTGAAAATTAAAGAGGAAATATTAAAAGCAGCAGAGAAAAAAGAAACACACTCACAGGGATAAAGATAAGAATTTCAGCAGAGTACTCATCAAAACAATGGAATGATATCTTTAAAGAAATAAAGTCAACCCAGAATTCTGTACTGAGTGAATAAATCTTTCAAAATAAAGGTGAAATAAAAAAGACTTTTCAGACAAACAAAAGCTGAGAGAGTCCATTGCCAGAGTCCATGATACAAGAAATGTTACAGAAAGTGCTTCAGGTACAAGAATGATACCAGATGGAAACTTGGATGCACACAAACGAAGAGTGCTGTGTAACAAATTACCCCCAAACTTAGTCGTTTAAAATAACAAACATTTTCTCAGAGTGTGTGGATGAGGAATTCAACATCAGCTTAGCTGGGTGGTTCAGAGTTGCTCATGTGGTTGCAGTCAAGATGTTGGCTGCAGCTGCAATCATCTGAAGGCTTGACTGGGGCTGGAGGATCCACTTCCAAGCTCATTCAATGCTTATGATTGTTGGGAGGCCTCAGTTCATCATGTGGGATTCACCACAGGGCTATTTAAATGACCTCATGACATATCATCTGGCTTCCCCTAGTGTAAATGATCTAAGAGAAAAATAGAAGCTACAAAGTCTTTATGACCTAACCTCAGAAATCACACATTTTCATCACAGTCTATTCATTAGAAAGGAGTCACTACCACCTGTGCTTCATAAGGGAGGGGCATTAGGCTGTTCCAGCAGGAGGAGTATCAAAGAATTTGTGGATGTATTTTTAAAGCACCACACTTCAGAAATTATAAATTAATGTATGTATAATGGAATTGATAATATGGCTGCACTTCTTCCCATGAGTGTCACATTCAAGGACTACTTCATGGACTGTCCCCTCCTGGGTGGCCCAGCAGAAATAATATAGACCCCAAAAGGAGAAAGAGAAGCTATAGCTTCAAAGACTTAATGGCCGCCAAAATACAGAGAGGCCATGGCCAGGTACTACTATAGCACCAACTGCCTGACACTGTCACCAAATACACCTTTGTACAAAAGAAGGCAGCTATTAACCTGCCAGTAAGTTTTTGTTGAAACTGAACGCTTGACTCATGGAGGCTTTGTGACTCTGGTTTGACATCCCCATTGGGGGATGGATCAACTTGTACTTGATGCCTAACAAGGTGAAAAGGAGCCAACAAGCCTTGCAAGTCAAACAGAAATAGCATATTTAAGAGTATAGTTGGCCTGGCCCTAACAGCTCTTTGGTGCTATGAAAAAGTGGCAGCTAATTCCTTTGGGGGTAAACTTTTTGCCCCTAAAGCAAAATTGCTGGCTCAATGGGGCTCTTGACTCACACACACTCCCCTACACTCCTGGCCTAGATCACAGATTGGCTAAGTTGAAACCTAAGGGGTCCAATGGGTTTCTGCCACAGTTCAGCCTCAGTGCCAGCTATGTAAAACCAAAAGCAGATGTGGCCACTCCTCTCAGTGGACAGAACTCAAATTAATCCTCATGAGTGGTCAATCCTCCCCTTGATGAACCTCACTACATTTTTACTAACTTTTGGGTTATTGCCAATGGCCTATGTGGTCTGCCAGGTGAAAGCTGACAAACTGGTAGATTAAGGACACCTCTCTTTGGCTATTAAACTTCTACAAATTGCTCAACTTCCCTGAAGGTTAAAGAAATGAATATTAAAATTAGATATCACTTCTTCCTATCATATAGACAAAAATGAAAAGATTAGCAATTTCCAGTATTGGACAGGGAATGAATGGATGCAGTCATTCTCAAGGACTGTTGATGACATGAAAATTAATAGTCTTTTTGAAAGGCAACTTGACTGAAACTTCACATACACATTGACTAAATGATTCTACTTCTAAATAGCCACTGAAGAGAAATCATCAAACACATGTAAGAGACATACTAGCATGTTTGTAAAGTGAGAGTAGCCCTCCATTAAATTCTTGTGTCCTCTCTCCCATTACCTATTATTATATTTCTTTATAATTCCCACCAAACTTTTGGAATCTATACCTATAACATGTCAAAATTTTTTTCAAAGGGTCATGATGACATTAGTAAAACTAATGGCCTGTTATCTATCTTCATGTTTTTCTATCACAATACAGCAGTCAACACAGATTGAAATTACATTTGTCTACCATGTGCTTTCATATACTCACATATAATATCTTACATATAACTTATGACCTCATGAAAACCCTTTGAAATAGGTGGTATCAATCCTCTCTTACAGATGAGGAAACAAATTCAGAGCACCCTGCTCAATATCACAAACAGTAGTTTAGGAAAAGAAACCCAGAGTATCTAAGTGCCAAGTCCAGTGCTCGTTCTACTAATGGCTGGTCCTAGAACTTTCTTCTACTGGTCTCCTTTATAGTTCTTAGTATATGTGCTCAATTAATCAAAATCCCCATGTCTGTGATTATCACTAATTTAGATGGAAACAACCAAGCAAATATTGTTTCGTAGCAATTGGCAGACTTTAATATTTAAGAAAAATCAAGTTCATCATACACATTAAAAATACAGGAAATTTCATGCATACATGAAGCTTCCAGTTTAACCTTTGTGGCAACTTTTAGAATGAGAATTACATATAAATACAGTACACTTTACAGTTCCCAAATTTCATAATTTTATACTGTGATTTAAACAGCTTCTCTTTATTTTTTACATATTCCACCTTTGCTAACTTGATTAACATACTCTAACCTGCACCACTTCAGATTATGGAGGAAAAAAACCCCCAGAATACTCAGCAAGCACAATGACCTATCTCCTTTCACTTTATTAAAATGATTGAAAACATTTGTGTGTACAGCTAATTTAAGAAAAAAGTAAAAAACTTTAAGGCTTACACCCTTAATTAGGACTACACATAAGAAATACAAAATTAAATCCTCCAGTGACACTTCTATTATTGATTAATACCATAATTTTCAAGTTTAGAATATATTAACTGCAAAAGCTATGAGGAAAAAAGCAATGCAAATTTAAGTAGAACATTTTAAAAAGTATTCATAATATGAGGGAGAAATTAAAAACAAATAACTGATTTCAAAATTTACTAAAATGTAAGCTATAATTTAGAAATATAAGTTTTATTAAAGAATAAAACCCGATAGCAGAAATTTTTAGGAATAAAGCCAATCCATCAGTGTCAACTTGTTTTTGCCTGAGAAAAAACAAGATAATTTGTTTTGATACAAGTTGTAAAAAAGTGAATACTAGTCAGTGAATAAAAAGCCTTTGTAAATTACTCAAAAACAATATGCTTTCTTTTCCTTTCAATAGACATTTTAAATACCTAGGTTCCGGTTAAGATTTTCCCCACCCCTGGCAATTTATTTCAAGTTCATTAATGTGGTACATAATGTGAATTCCCACTAAATGATCATCTGCCAAGTGTTGAGGGACACACAAAAAGAGAAATAGTTAAAAAAAAAAAAAAGAAACTCAACAGGTTACAGGGTTCCTTCCATAAATTGACAAGTCAAATTATCTTCATGGAATCCTTTACTGCAGAATGGGCGTAAAGACCACAAGAGTTTCCTTACTGTATGCAGAAAGGCTCCTACTTGTAAGATGCCGAATCCTGTAGTGATTCCCCAACCTACCTGACCATAAAGGTTTAAAGATTTACAAATATGTTTTCCTATTAAACCATGATATTTCTGCTACCAGCACATTATTGAGATTAGTCTATCTAATCCAAATTGCCACAGAGGTCATTTAATGCCATCACAATCATCTGTAAAAATATTCAAAGAGTACTTCCTTTTCTCCAAGAAAAGGTTAAAACATTAAATTTGTCACCTCAATTTTCCCAGGTACTGGAAACAGAATGATAAACATAAAAAAATACAAAGGAAATCTCCCTCCAATAAAGATCTGCTAGAGGTAGAAATTCAAAGCAGCATATTCTGTTTTAGCCCCAGGTATCAGGGAACAAAATTGATGTTAATCTGAAATTATATTAATGGCTGCTGCTTACAATATTGAACACACAGACCACAGGCAGTGATTTATCCCTGAATTCCATATTCTAAATTTCCCTACATTAATACCTTCATGACAGTTTTTACTAGTATATAATTGTTTTAACACAACAAAAAAAAATTCTGGCTTTTATAATCCAGGTAATCTACACTTGATTTTAGCCAAAAGGCTGAGAAGCGATAATCCAGGTAATCTGAAGAAAAGACATTATTGCAAACATCTCGCTGACTCGGTATTCATTTATCATTTGAAATCATACATTTCTAATGGGCAGATTTTATTCTTATTTCCCCAGTGTCCTACCATACCTTTAACAGAGGCTTTTGTGCCTCACTTAGAATGTTGAGATCTTCACACATTTCAGAGTGATCCATGATGAATATGCTGTCAAAAAATGTTGAGTTTAGTGTGGTCAAGAGACTAATTTCTTGGTTACTTGAATGCATTTTTACTGGTCGACCTGTGACCCTATGAAATTTAGCACTTCATAAAAACAAAAAGTTTTGATGTTTCTCTAAATTCAGCTGAGCTAGACAAAAAAATTGAATAATAAAAGAATAGACACATATTTCATGTATAGATTGCTTAGATCCAAAGTGAATGAAAGTCTCAATTCCAAATGTTGAATGACAGAAGATCCTTAGACCCTTCTAAAAATAGTGTGCAATGCATACAAAACAAAAAAGGAGATTATTATGGACTTCAATACTATTAGTCATTAGGATGGCAGGCTTGGAACGGACAGCTTCAAGAAGACACTGGAGATAAAGTTTTTCCTACTGAAAGACAATCTGGGCTTCAAGAAAAAAGTATACTTGAAGACACTTCCTCCATTGTTACTTGTGTAGTACAAATATGCATGGCATAGTTTATTTCTGAAAAAGCATTAGACATATTAAGAAAATAGATGCTATTTCTAAATTTTGTTAGGAATAAAAAGGCACCACTGATTTGAGGTTGTGTCCTGTCATTGTGATAGTTAATTTTGAGTTGTTTATTTCAGGATTTGCTCTCATAAACTTTTTTCTTGGTGATATCACTTGAGAACCTTACTGTGGTTTACGCACCACAAACAAGACACATTCATAGTAGTATTTCATCATGGAGAGATCATTCACAGTATATGTTGACAAGACAGATTCTTTTTCCACCTGCAATGCAAACAATGATGATGATGATAACCATGATGATGACACTAAGAAATACTGGGCACTTATAAGTGGCAGGTGCTATTTTACACATATTCTGGATATTAATTGATTTATCATATATAAGTACCCCCATAATATTGGTACTATTAATAATCCCACCTTGGGGCCGGCCGAGTGGCTCAGTTGGTTAAGAGCTCACTCAAGAGTTTGAGCTCTGAGCAACAGCGGTTCGAGTCCCGGCCCAAGCTGAGCAGCTGATGAGCTGCCAACAGGTGGCAGGATGGCTCAGCTTAAAAAATAAATAAATAATAAATAAATAAATAAATAAATAAATAATCCCACCTTACAAGGAACAGGTTGCTCAAGGTCACACCTCTAATAAATGGTAGAACTGGGGTTCACACTCAGGCAGTCTAACTACAGAGCTTGAGCTCTAAGATACTATAACATATTACTTCTCTTTATCTTTAAGGATTAATCTGCTGTTTATTTTTTAAATGAATGGAATGTTTCTAAATAAGCATACAACTAAAACACAATAGTCCAAGTATCATAAAACCTTATAACAATGAACGTAATAAAAAAGCACATATAGTGAACAATATCCCTCTCGCACCTGCCCTCCCACCTCCATCTATTTCCCCAGAGCCCAGTCTCCTTGGTATCTATCAGTCTACAAAGGCCAAAATTATGGTAATGGTCAGCTATTACCAGTGATATAGTTTTTCCACTTACATATACATTATCCCAAATACTTAAAATTATAAAAACTATTATTTTCACTTTATGGATGAGATAACAGAGAGGTTAGAGGTGAAGCCAATAAATGCTGTAATATTACCATTGTTGTTTAAGTGCTTTGGAAGTTAGGCTTTGGCAATACTTCATTCCATCCTTACCTCTAGCTGGAATCCATACTGGAGAACAACGTTTTTTAGATCCTCATAGCTCAATTCTATGGAAAGTTCATTTGCCAAATTTTCAAAGTGGTACAGCAGAGGACCTACGGTTTAGATATTGTGAATGAATTATTTGAATATAAACATGCACTAGTAGCTGTGCTGAATAATAAGTCCAAGTTGAATAATAAGTCAGGTAGTAGATGAACAAACATAGAAAGGAGAAATAAACAACATTTACATTTGTCCAGGACAGGTATTCAGACCCCTGAATGAAACCTTGGCCTCATTAAGTTAGAGCTCATATCCTAGCTCTAACTTAATGTGTTCCTACTGGCAAGTCACTAATTCTGCCCCATCTGTAACAAGACTTCAATGTGAGATAATATGCAATACACCTGGCATATAGAAGACATCAAGTAAATGATATAGCTATAACTTTTTAAAATGACATTTTCCCCTTTTCTATTCTCTCATTCCATATATCCAAGAAACTACTGGGTTGTCGGAAAAGTCATGACACATTTTTGCAATGAAAAACAGAAAAAATACGTCATGACTTTTCCGGCAACCCAATATCATCTGACTCAAACCAGATTTTCCAGTCTTTTAATGTTTCACATTTTTTCCAATCCATCAGCTTCATCCAGGCAACGTTATCATTCCACAGTTATATGTTAGGACTAATCTAGACAATCTTCTCTTCACCTTCTACTGGGTATTAATTATAAACCCATGACCAACTCCCCACCACCACCCCATCCCCACTCCTCATACAATGTGCTAATTACAGAAGATAAACGTAATAAACAGGACAAAGTCTGCTCCCAAAAGACCCACCACTCTGTGGAACATACTTTGGGTTACAAAATTTTTATTCGTCTCCTCTATTTTTTATTCTACAGACGTACACCACTAGAAAAAAAATGACCATAAATGTGATTTATATGTTAGTGCTTTTTTCAGAATATAACACTTCCCTATCAAGCTTAATTCTCTATCTACTTAACTACTCTATCAAGCTTAATTCTTGTTAGTTTTAGTACTAATAAAAATGACAGTAGCCACCATTTACTGAGCACCTGCTGTGTCCTAGGCCACCCCGAAGCCTATGAAGCCTTTTTATAAAAATGTGAAGTCTCACAGCAGTCTTTCCAGTTCTAAAGTATATGCTGTTCTTGCTCCATTATTTTAAAAGCCTCCAACAATATTGTTTTATTCTATCTACATAAAACATCCCAATGGACTGTTACATACTCAGGCCATATTTTACCTCTACTCATGTTATGTTCACCTAGAAAGCTCCAACTCAACCTTTAGCCAGGCTCCAAAACCTTGATGAAATCAAGTTTTAATATAACCCATTCAAGTTTCCAGCCCTATTGCTTATTTCCTTAACATAGTATACTTTATAACTCATTTAATGCAATATTGCACGTCTCACTGATTCCTTTTCATGTAATCATCAGTTTTTTAAGTTACAAGCTACATAAGTTAACGAATATGTCTTAAATTTCTTTTGAGTCCACCATAATGCCCAGAATAACAATGAATGTACAGTTAAACACGCAGTCTCCTAGTACAAATAGTACTTCAATATCTCTGTGCATATTTCAGATTTTTCCTTACAAAGACATTGTTTGAAGTGGAATTTCTAAGTCAAAGAGAATAAACATTTTTACTGACTTGATTCACACTGCCAAAATGCTTTCCAAAAGAGATATAACAGTTTCACTCAGAATTGCAACGTTGAGTACTTGCTTCAACACCTTAGCAAACACTGGGAATGCAATGGTAGTCATTTTGGATAACAGCTTGGCAGTTCCTTGTAAAATTTTACATACAACATACACGTAACTTACCCAGGAGAAATGAAAACTTGTGGCCACATAAAGATTTGTATACAAGTGTTTACAGCAACTTTATTCATAATTATAATCATTTGGGAACCCCCCAAATGTCCATCAACCAGTGAATGAATAAATAAAATGTAGTATATCCATACAGTAGAATATTACTGAGCATTAAAAAGAAACAAGCTGCTGATACATACAAAATAATGGATGAATTTCAAATATATAATGATAAACTAACAGTTAAGGTCAACAGCCCAGGGAAACACAGGACCATGAGCAAGACCAGCAGAAAAAAGAGAAAGCAGAAATTGACCTACAAAAACTTGAGATGTTAGAATTATCAGACACAATATATTCAGCATTTTCAAAGACATAAAGGACTATCTTGAAAATATATGCAGAGAATAGAAAAGTTTTAAATGACATAGCTGTCCAAAATAAAAACAAATAAAAATAAAATATACAACCCAAATTAAAACTTAAGCGGTTATAAAGACGTTAGACATCGTTACAGAGAGAATTTGTGAGAATTTGGGAAGACAGTTCAGAATAAATTAATCTAGAATGCAGCACAGAGATGAAAAGATAGCAAGTAAAGAGAAGTGGTTAAGATATATATGGAAGCTAGAATAAGAAAAATTAAAATATATTTGACTGCATTTCCAGAAGGAGAGAAGAAGAATGAGGCAGAGGAGGTATATGAAGAAACAATAACTTACTAATTTTGATTCTAACCTTGTCTCACATTGGCAAGTGGGGACCTTTTAAGCTGAGAATTTTTGAAAATTGATGAAAGTCAATTACAGATTCAGGTAGACCAACAAACTGTACACAAGTTTAAAAAAGAAAAATTCACATTGAATTTTTGAATCAAACATTGAATCTGAAAAACTACAAAGAAAAAAATCTTATAAAACAAAGCTGATTATCTCTAAAGAACCAACAGTTCAGACAGCTGAATTGCCAACAGCCAAATCAGAAGCCAGAATCCATTGGAATGATCTCTTCCATGTGTGAAAGCTATCTGCCAACCCTGTACTCTACTTAGCATCGCTTTGGAGCTAAAGGTAACAGTAAGAACTTGTGACCTTTACAGACATAGACAGACACAAACATATAGTTTTACCCCTAACTGCTGACAAGGCCTAGAAGCAATCCTATCACAGTGGTAGAATCCAGAGTTTCATTTCTACATACCACTGCCCACTAAAAGGAACCAGGAATCCCTGGGGAAAGAGGCTCACCTCAGGTCTAGGCAGAGAAAGGACAAGATGGCTTGGAATGCCTGGTTATGCCAGAAAGGAGCTGCTCGCACACTGTCAGGGACATTTCAAAAAAACACAGGGGACAGCTTGAAGGGGGTCCCATTTACCAAATCCGGGACAAGTTGATTTAAACCATTTATATACCCTTAAGGTCCTAAAGGTTCCAGTTAAGAGACAGAGATTGTTAAACTGGATAATAAAACAAAAGTTAACCATATGCTGTATATAAGAGACCTGTAGAAAACATAAAGATACAGAAAGGATTTGATAGAAAAAGATATACCATATAATTATTAACTAAAAGAAAGCTCATGTAGCCATATGAACATGCATATTTAAAGATAAAAAACATAGTTTGCATCTGTGCAAAACAGAGGGCTGGCACTGAAACCACAGCAAAAAGTTTTATAGGCAGGGTAGGGAGGTGGTGGGGCTGGGAGTGGGTGGGCTTTGTGGTCACCGTGTGATGATTTTCCAAAGAAGACTTTTAATTACCGTATCTCCCCATGTATAAGACGCACCCTTTTTCGAAAAATTTGGGATCTAAAAACTGGGTGCGTCTTATACAGTGGTTGTAGGTCGTTGTCAAGTCATTTAAGAAGTGTGGCATTTCAAATGCCATAGATGGAACTGAGGACAAGCCAACATATGAAGACAGTGATTCGTCATCAGACACAGATAAGGACAAGCTAGTGGTTGGGAGTTTTGACAGTGATGAGTTGTATGAATTTTATGATGAATAAAACTTGAGTTCAATAACTTTATGTAATACATTTTTTTTCAAATTTCAGGCCCCAAAATTAAGGTGCTTCTTATACATGGGAGCATCTTATACATGGGGAAATGTGGTAATCCCCTTCTGTTCTGTCCTACAATTCATTCTCTCTCTCTACTAGACCATATTTTCACAAACTCTGCTCCTTTCCCATTCACTGTTTCCAGTGAATTCAACTTCTGGTCTCCTGCCTGAGCATGGACTGGAAATGGGCATAAGGTAGGCATCTTGATTACTTGATTACTTGGTTATACAGGGGTCAACTGTTCTCCATATGTAAATTTTCAACTTCTATTTTTCCATACAGTGCCAATTTTCCAGAGTTATTCCAGGTTGACTGGCTTTGTTCACATTGGTTTCTTTATAAAACTTATCCTGTTACCTCATCTTTTAAAAAATTATTATATTCTTTTGTTCCCTGATGACATCCCTGCCATTCTTTGTCCATGTGTTTCCTACCTTTTTATATTTTGACTACCACTGGAATAAGATCTCAATGAGGAGATAATATATGTATTCGACCATCCATCCTCTATAGGAAATCTCTCATATTTTAAAAAATTCTGTAGCTTTATAATGCTTTAAAAATCTGATAAAATCCATCTCTTATTATACCTTGCAAAGATCTCCTTTAGTACTTTAACCTGTTTCTTCTCCCAGATGAAGTTAGATTCACTTTGCTAATTCCCGGCCCTCCACTGCCCAACTATAAATGTATCAGTGCACATACACACCCCACACTCCCACTTTTAAAAATAAATTATACATAAATGCATTTAAGGGGTATTGATCCTCATGAAAAACTGAAATAACAGGATGCACAGGCGTTCTTCTTTATTTTTCTAAATCATAGCCTTTCCCAAAAGACATGTGCATAACAGTTCCCTTAAAAAGCTCACTAGTTTTCTCTAACCTGGGGAAGAATAAAGAGTACCTCGAATCCCTCTTAAAGCATTTTATAAGTCCCTAATATTCTCAATTCTGATTTCATACAATCTGGGCAATATTTTCATTATAACTTAACTTCCAATGTAACTTTTTAGTATTCCAGAATGGATGGCAATTACACTTCTCATTATATATGAATGTATTGACATCCTGGTCTATGTAAGCATGGTTAGGGTGATGAAATCATCCCCAAGGTGCTGATGCTTTCTCAGTTTACAAATAAAGTTAATTTTCCAGGTCAACATGACTACAGTCAAAAACCATGAGAATGTTATGAATTTACCAATATAAATGCCACTTTATCATGTCTCTTGGCAGCCAGTCAATCTTCTGGGGCATCTTAACATTTCTTTGTTTCCTCTTTCAAATTGTGAATCAATACATGCATTTATACACATAAGTTACTAAATATCTACTAGTTGTCAGGCTCTGTTCCAGGTGAGGAGGAAGCATTAGATTCCGGCCCTCATTAGGCTTAGAAAATAGTAGGTGAAACAAAAATATAGGGGTGACAACACTACAATGTGTTAAATGCTACGGACAGATTCTGTGAGAACGTAAAAGAGGAATACAGAATATTTAATCTGAAAGGATCGCCTGAGCTAAGTGTTAAAGAGCACATAGGAAAGAACCAAATGAAAATAGAAGGGAAAGAAAAAGGGCTTTTTAGGTCAGAGGACTGGCGCTTGAGGTCAGGGTAAGGATGGTAAAAATAAATAAATAAATAAAGCTGATACAGGAAAAGATGCTCAACATCACTAATCATTGGGGAAATGCATATCAAAACCACAATGAGACATCACCCCATACCTATTAGAACAGCTATCACCAACAAGACAAGAGGTAAGTGTTGGCAAGGATGTGGAGAAAAGGGAACCCTTGTGCACGGTTGGTGGGAATGTAAATTGGTGCAGCCACTATAGAAAACAGTATGAAATTGCCTCAAAAAATTAAAAATTGAACTACCATATGACCCAGCAATCCCACTTCTGGATATTTATCCAAAGAAAACAAAAATACTACCTCTGAAAGATATATGCACGCCCATGTTCACTGCAGCATTACTTACAATAACTGACATATGGAAGCAACCTAAGTGTTCATGGATAAAAAAAAGTGGTGGTATGTACTGTATATACAATGTAATATTATTTAGCTGTAAAAGAGAATGTAATTGTGACTTGTGACAATGTGGATGGACTTTGTGAGCAATATGCTAAATGAAACAAGTCAGAAAGAGAAAGACAAATACCATTTGATCTCACTTATATGCGGAATCTTAAAAAACAAAAACAAACAAACAAATAAAAAATAAAAACAACCAAGCTCACAGACACAGAAAACAGACTGGTGGTTGCCAGAGGTAGGGGTGGGCTAAATGGGTAAAGGGAGTCAAAAAGCACAAACTACGAGTAAGCCATGGAGATATAATGTACACCATCAGTTAATATTCCATGACTATAGTTAATACTCTATTGCATATTTGAAAGTTGATATTCTCTTTAGACATCATTAGGCGCTGAAGCTCTTGCAGGACAGCTTTGATGTTATATAAATTCTGCCATTTTGCTAGCACTGATATGGCTCTTGGGTCCACCACTCCATTAGAACTATTAATTCCATTCATATTAATTTTGTCACAAATCTTATAAAGGAAGTTGCTTCTGGGTATTTAGGTCCACATTCTGTATATTTGGTTTTCATAAATTGTCCGAGCCTGTGGTGACTGCCATCTTACATTGCTGTTGCTCGAAAGCCACAAAGAATAACTTTTTACAAGTCCTCATCACAAGAAAAAAATTTTATAACTATGTATAATCATGAATATTTACTAAATATGTTGTGATGATCATTTTGCAATATATACAAATATTGAGTCATTATGTTGTACACCTGAAACTAATATAATGCCAATTATACCTTAATTAAAAAAAAGAAGCCAAGACACAAGACAGGAGAAAGGCCACCAAGGGCACTGTGCACATCCTGAAGAGTTTAGGTTACCAAGAAAGCTAGTCTGTTATGCCCGCAGTCTGACAGGAATAGATCTGCATGTTGGGAAGAACACTGCTGGTAAGGAGAAGCGAAAGGGGCATGGAGGGTTAGAGATAACTTGAGGGCAGGGGTACCCTTAAGGAAACTACTGTGGTAACCCAGGCATGCAATGATGAGGACCTGGACTAAGTAAGGTACTAGCATGGGGTTAAAGCAACAGTTCTCAACTGGCATTTTTAGTTGTCACAGCTGGGAAAGTACTACTGGAATCTAGTAGGAAGAAGCCAGAGATGCTGCTAACCAACCTACAGTATACAGGACAGCCCTTCCCACCCCCAAATGAAGAATGATCCAGCCCCAAATGTCAACAACACCACAACTGAGAAAACCTGGGATAGAAAGAGATTCAAGGTCTCTTAAGGAACTCTAGGAGATACAACTTATAGACTGACCTGGCACAGATGATGAGTATGAAGAGGGGTAGGAGTTCTAAATGTTTGCTGATTGTGGGGATCTGAGATGGAACAGAAAAGGCATGGGGGACAAATGGGCATCGTTTCCTGCTTTTCCAGATCTCTTCACACAGATTTGGAAGTATGGGTGGTGCACCCACTTTGGACATCGTGGTTGGGGGCATGAGAAATATTTGGACCAGAAAGTCACACTGGGAATTGAAAGAGTAAAAGAAGCCATAGGATTGGGTAAGAATAATACAAAGTAAGGGATGAGTACAGGGCATAATAAGAGACAAACACTGCATAGATACCTGGAACACACTGATATTTATGGAAAAATTGGCTCTGAGATAATTATTATTTTACTTGTTAAATTCTTTAACTTACACATAGATAGGATTTGACTTGGAAGGGATTAACCTTCCAAATAACCATTTTTAAGAACTATGTTTCTCCATTATTTCAATTCTCAAACTCATCTTAGAAATTCTGTGGTAAAAAGCCCTCCTATTTGGTCTCCCATTAACCAACATGCCTCATTACCTCTGATGCTCATGACAGATCACAGGCCTTGCCCCAACATGTCTCCTCTTCTTGTCAAGCAGTATGCTTACCAAGGGCCAATTTTATTTGTTCCAGGTAGTTATAATTATTATTACATAACTTAATAAAATATTAATGAACCAACAAAATAAACGTTCAAAGAGAAAAGTTGTTCCTATGAAAGTTAAGTTGAATGTTTTAGAAACACATAAAACCTTACCATAACCCAGTATACTGGGATCAAAAATTTTAATCACATAAATACAGTCAAGTTAATACTAAGTATCAACTGACCCAGTGCAAGCCTGCAGAGCTAGCTCTTAGGCATTTCAGGGGTTGGACCTGGGCTGTAAGCCTCACTCTGCCATATGTAAGCTCCAGGACCCTTCTGCTAGCTACTTAACCCAAGATTCAGTTTCTTCAACTATAAAATAGCAATAATGCCATTTTAACATAAGATTGTTTTGAGATTACACAAGGTATTTATAAGTGGCTAACACAATGCCTAACCCACAGAGAGCAAATGCCCAGTAGGTAATGTTATCTTTCATTCATTCCTTAGGAAAAGAAATACTTTTCTTTTAAAGAAGACCCAAGGTTTGAGATAACGTTTCATATTGTGATTACATTTTACAGCTAGCTGCTCTCATCTATCTTATGGAGTTCTAAAAAGATGTTCTGAAAAGGCCTACTACTTACTACCTGTAGGTTTCGTCCTACTGGTAAAAGCTCTGGTGAAGTCAAATCATTAAAAATAGCCCTGGGGCCGGCCGAGTAGCGCGATGGTTAAGAACTGGCTTGGGACGCCAGAG